TGGGCCTTGGCATCGGATGATGCATACCAAAGTTGTGCAGCTGCAGCGACTTGAGTGTGGCTGGCGCCGTCGATGACTGGCCGTGCACGTGCCCGTGATGGCCGTGATGACTGTGTCCCACCACTCCAGCGATGCTATGAGCCGTTACTGGACGAGTGATGTGTGTAGTCTGTCGGCGCGCTCAGCTGGCGATTGAATTCGGCCTTGCGGCGCGTCAAGTCCGTCAGGCAGTATTTGTTCAGATGGCCGTTGCTGGAGACAGGGCTCTTGGGCGATGATGCCAGATGCTGCGTATAGGCCGAAGGAGTTGCTGCTCACGCTTAGCTTATTGCCGGCGTTGTGCAGCAGATTGTTACAGTTCTTGCCGCTGATCTTGGCCGACTTTTGCCCGTCGTCGGTATCGTGTTGCTGCTGCTGCTAGCCGCCCTGTACTCCTTGTCGTCGCTCTCGCTGCGCACCGATGCTCGATACGCAGGAAATGTCTTCGTCTTGCTCTTCAGAGAGCCGTTCAGCAGTAGCTGCTGTTGCCGTGCGGCAACTGCCGACAATGCCGGCAGCTGCAGTTGACGTGACGCCGCTGCCGATGAGGATGAGGATGAGCCGGCAGCCGTGGCAGGTGTCGACAGAGATGGGCAGCGGTTGGAGCAACCTGTGGCTGTGAAACTTCTTGAATTAATGCAGTTGGCGGTGTTTTGGGGATTTCTTGACTTGGTTCTAGTATGGATGAAGAGTCGCTTGGCTCTGCCGCCGCGAAGAGTTCGTTAGTTGTTGCTGGCTGATGAGCTTCTACTGTTGGTGGTGGTGCCGTGAACAAGGGGGTTTCCTCAACGATTCCGCTTGTAGATTTGCATGCTGTGGTTCTGGCTTAGCATCCAACTATGGGGCGAATAGAGCTGTTGCTGGTTCTTGTGGACGACAGGATAAATCGTAATTTTTCTGCAGGCTTTTTTAATTTTTGGGAATTTGGTTATAAAATGTATAGTGTTGATGGATTCCTCTAGCCAAATTGATTTTAAATCTGAGGAGTCCAAAATGTTTGGGCTAACAATGAGCCTTCGCGAGAGTAATAGCAAGCATTAAACTTTGCAACTCCATCGTCCGCATTCTGTTTCTGGACAGTGTTTCAGTGTTTCAAATAAATAAATCAATAAAATCAATTTGTGAGTTTTGGCTATCCCGAGAACTCCACTGACAGCAAATGTTAACTGGTTAAGTTGGTCTTGAACCTCAGTGTTTACTTCTATCCGTCTACTGTTGGCATTCATTAGTCGCATTTCAGTGGACCTAGTCTGCTCTAAATCACCAGCATCGGGTGTACCCGCCACCAAAATGTTTTATAAAAACTATGCCAAGTGGCTAAAGGTAAATAGAAAACTATATCTAACTTATTCGAAATTGCCTAGCGGCTTAAAAAAAAGGTGTAATAAAAAAACAAGGGAGTCATCTTAGGTTGTCCTTGTGGACCACCCTTCCTTTAATGAGGACCTCGGTCCCCAGGTCTGCTTCCACGGCCTTCTCGACACATAAAGGTGTGAGTTTGTTTCCGAGCCGTCGGTTGGACTTGACCAAATCCTTGTCACCAACATCGAAGACTCTATTCTGCCGCTTTGCGTTCTCCCTAGCTCTGAGCGTCGTCTGAGCGTTTCTGATCTTTTCTTCTATCTTTTCTTGTGGCTCTTGTTTTTTGGGGTGTCTATCATACTTAGCCCTAGCACATGTTTTGCAGTTTTGTACTATTTCCTTGGCAATTTTTGCCATCCGTGGAAAGTAGTACTCCGAGAGTACCTGCTTAACATTTTCCTGTGCAGACCTATGGGCCCTATTATGCTCGACTGTGAGGATTTCCCTTCCTTCTCCAACCGCAAATATGTCCACTACGCGATTTTTGCAATGCCAGAACTTTGTGGCTGGGTATCTTCGCACCAATGCATCTTGTATCATTGCAAGCGTGTGTAAATTACAGTGGAGAGCATTTACGCATTTGGGTGAGACTACATCTTCGAGCTCGTCTAGCAGCGATTCGACGCATGTATAGCTGATCAAGTAGCGTTTCTTATTTCCAAAAAGAATAAAACTTCGTTTTAAGGGGAAACGCGCCTCTTCTAGCACTATCTGGTTTTGAAAACAGTTCAAGGGTTTGTCTGTCGTCTCAATGGTGTTGGTGAGAGATACCTCACTGTGGATCGTTGCAGCGCAGGACTCAATTTCTTGCTCATTTATAGCGTTGAGCTGCTGTCTTGACAAGGCATCCGCAACCAGATTGTCCTTGCCAGGTTTATAGAAGATACGTGCATTAGACTCGTCAATGCGCGCTTTCCACCTTTTGATTTTCGCATTTGGATTAGATTCCGAAACTGCGAAGGTCAAGGGTTGATGGTCAGTGAAGATATTAATGTCTTTCACCCCATACAAATAGTGCCTTAATTTGGCAAGTGACCATACAATGGCCAATAACTCTCTCTCATTGGTTGCATAGTTAACCTCACTGTCCTTCAATGTTCTTGAAATCATTGTTATAGGACGACCCTCTTGAGACAAAACTGCACCTATGCCGTGAGCCGAAGCATCGGTCGTTAGATCGAATGGCTTCTTAAAATCGGGGTACCTGAGCATTACATTCTCGGATGACAAAATATCGCGCAACTTCTGAAATGCCCTCTGCTGCACTTCAGAGAATTGAACCTTTATATTTCTGGACCTATGCTTACTGACTGTTCCATTTTCACCCTTCAGGATATTCGAGATGGGTCTTGCTATTGCGGCGAAGTCCCTAATGAAACATCTGTAATAACTTGCGAGGCCTAGAAATGATCTAACCTCGAACAGCGTTTTTGGTTCTGGATACTCCTGTATTGCCCTAACCTTTTCAGGATCCGTCGTGGTGCCAGTGCTGGTGACTACGAAACCAAGAAAGTTCACGCTTTTCTTAAAAAAACGTGACTTTTTGACGGAGACCCTCATGTTTGCTTTGTATAAGCTTTTTAGGACCCGATCCACGTGTTTAATGTGGGATTCCTCATCTTCTGAAAAGATGATTACGTCATTGACATCAACATAGCAAAATTTGCCAATCTGCTCTCGCAGTATGTCGTCGATGGTTCTTTGAAAAATGCTTGCTGCATTCTTTAATCCAAAGGGGAGTCTTTTGAACTCGTATTTCCCCCCGTTCACAGAGAAAGAGGTTTTTTCACGGTCGCGTTCAGCGAGTATGATCTGGTGATAACCAGACTTGAGGTCTAATGTTGAAAAGAATTTGGCTCTCCCCAAATTCCCCAATATCATTGATATATTTGGCATAGGGTATTTGTCCGGCACGGTTTTTTTCGTTAAGTTTACGAAAGTCCATTACCAACCTCATTTTCCTATTGCCCGCTTCATAAGTGCCCTTCTTGTCTACTACCCATATTGGGTTATTGTAGGGAGAGACGGACTTTTGAATTATATTATTCTTTAGTAGATCTTTGATTTCTTTATTAACGAAATCAGCCGCTCCCATTGGATATGGGTAAAGCTTGGTATAGATCGGTTGCTCATCTATGGTCCTAATGGTAGCCACGACTGATGTGTTATACGGCAACGTCTCGTCTGGGTCTGCAAAGGCCTTTTGTCTGGTCTTCAGCATTTTCAAAAAAGAACTTCTAACTAATGGGGATGCATCTGCTATTTGTTCAGCTAACTCATTAATTCTTTGAGTCAATGCATGCTCCCTCTGCTGGTTTACAGCAGCCTGTTCGGCTAAAGCTTTGCTGATAGCCGTCCTTATTACTTCCGTAAGCTGATCTACATCCATTCTACCTGATGGTGGGAGAACTGCACAGTCGGAATCTGAGTCGCTAGACTGCCTGCGAGGGTTTCTCTATTGGTTGAACCGAGACATGCGCAGGTCAGTGGTCGCGAAAAATAAAACGGGCCGTCAGAAGATGGGTCGAATTACGTCGCAGTTCTGAACTACGAGAACTGCATGCACAACTTCAGACACACAGAAAGTAACACAATGTAATTTTATTGACGATCTGAATGATCAATTGCTGCCACTAAAATTCCCAAAGTAGTCACTCTCACTTGGTTCTGATCATTAATTTTTTTTTTTTTTACATGCAATTGCAATATAAAATACTCGCTAGTCCTAGCTATTTTTTTATAAAATAAATTTTAACACTTTTTGTGTTTGAAGAAAAATTTTGGCTAGAGTATCCACTTACAAGATTCAACTAACACAAAACAAAAAAAAAATCCCTTTATAAGATCTGTCAATTGCAGCTCCCGCGCTGCTGTCTTAATTGTTGTTGGTTGTGGAGTCCGCCCCACGTTGGGCGCCAATTATATAGTTTCCAGTCCTGTGGTGACTGAAAGTTAGGTTGAGAGGCGACTGTGCCTCTTATTGCTGGCCTCGGGCTCAGACAATGAAATAAGCCATTTAACGAGCAAATGACGGAGTGAATATTTATTTAAGCGGTTTACTGGAAGAACGCTTTTTTATATATACATATGTGTGTGTTAGAGTAATTGTACAATTGGATGCAAAGACATTTGAAAGCAGTTGAACTGAAGCTGTCGAGATGCATTCACAATTTGGGCATCCTTAATGCATCTCCGATGGGCCATAAATTGTGACTGGGCTGTTATTATTTTGGGCATGGGCACGCAGAGCTTGAGGGCACTTCAGAGCCGAAATGCTGGTATGTGGAGCAGGTGCGCCGGCGACCTCAGCATGGCCTGCTGTGGCTCAATGGCTGTTATGCAATATGGTCATAAGTGTGGCACGCCCTCCATTTGCTGTCACATTGTGGCATAAATTGATTTGCCACGATCTCCGGCTAAATGTGGATTTATGAAAGTCACGCAAAACCCAATCGCATTAACCATAACGCTTCGCCCACAAACTGGGCAAAAAAAAAAAAACAATTTGAGTAATTATTGATCGAGTTAATGCGCATTTATAAGACCTGCTGGCGGCAGCAAAAGTCAAACAGTTACTCGACTTCTCTCACAGCTCAAACATGTCTCGCGCATTCCTCTCACTAATCTCAACTCTTTTGCTGCTGTCGCCCACCTGGGCTGGCATTAGCTACCTGGCCGATGAGCATGCCGTGGCGCATACCCAGCAGAATGTGGTCAGAAGCTACGACGGCACCGTCTCTCACTATGCCAAGTCCGTGGCGACGCCCTACTCCCAGGTGCACAAGCTGGACACACGCATCAGCAACAATGTCTATCAGCCAGCCATAGCCAAGACTATCAGCTATGCTGCTGCTCCAGCACCAGCACCACAACAGCCTGCGTTCTATAGCCAGGCTCCAGTCTACCATCAGCAGCAGCAGCAACACATCCCAGCTGTCCAGACCACCTACGCCAGCCACCAACCCTCTGTGGTGCACTATTCACCCGCCGAGGCAGTCTCCCACATGAGCTTCGATGGATTCGGCACTCACTGGGGATTCTAAATAATTTTAAGAGTTTTGCATTAAATAAAGACTTTTCTTTATATATGATAAGTATTTGCTTTTATGGGAGCCTATAAAATAATAAAATAAAAATAAAATAAAAAATAATAATAAAATACCTCATCTTCCAGCTGGGGTACAGCTAAAGGCCTGAAATCTGAATTCTCATTGAAAAGATCATTTCAGGAGAAGGTGGTGTGGCAGATCAGAATGCTGAGCTAAGTCCATATAGCCAAGTCGGTCTGTCTATATAGCACCTCAGTGCAGGTAATTCCTAGTCGAACACTCCCGACTAGAACCCTCTTAATTGCTTCTACTCAATCACATCCAGCTCTTATTCATCCACCTAACAATATCTAAACTATAAACCATAATAAAACTCTTAATGTGTTATTTAATAATCGTAATCTAGTTTTTATCACAGTTCATGCTCAGAGTCGGAGCTTTCGCCTCACGTCCTCGAGTTGCTGTATATAAACAAATCATAAAAGCTGCACACAAAGTGCACACACTACAAATAGCCTGAAGTAGGACATTAGCTTGGCTCTTCTACCACTGCCACGCCCATCAACTAACGCCCAATCTCTAACCACAGCGAAGCAGGAGCCTGAATGGTCGGGTTACGTGATTTGTGCAGCGCAAACTTAAAAATCGGACATGAACGCGTTACGTGACTCGCATGGCAAGTGATGGCCGAAGGAGTGGGAGACGGAGGTGGAGATGGAGATGGAGTCGGAGCGAAGGACACAGCATCAACTGAACTAATCGGATTTTTTTATGCGCGCTCAGTGAGTGAAATGGGTATATGGTGTTGCTATGGAAGCTGAAGAGTTGCAAAATTGAATTGCGAAAAAATAGCTGAAGGTGGATAGAGTGATAAAGATCTAGATCTGTATAACATAAAATACCTTTAAGCAATGGAATTGATAAAATGTGTATTACTTTATAAGAAAATCAAAGTTTTTGAACTAATAAGTTTGCTTAATGATCGATAATAATTCATTAAATCAATAGTTCTTTATTATTATCGACTGTAGACTGAAAAGCGATAAAATCAAAGATCTCGATGCCACTTCATAAGAAATCGATATTTGTACACTTAAATGATTTACTAAAGATCGATTATAATTGATAATTTCATGTTACAAGTTCATATAAAAAGTTTCTTAACAGCTCAATTATAATCGATATATTCTACAATCGATTCATTTATACCAAAGAGCTCATCTAAAGATCGATTATAATCGACAACTCTTTACTTTCATTCATTTCAACTTCTTCTCGCACTGCAAGCGAGTATTTCGTCGTCATGTACTCCCGGACCGCAACATCTTCACTTGCTTTTCTCTCTCAACTCTCAATCAGAAGTTTGCCTCGTTATAAATTATGCACATTGGCAATTGCAGGCAGCCTGGGAAAGAGGAAGAGATTCGAGCTGAGGTTCATAATCTATAAATTGAAATCACATTTTTGCTAGCTCATTAATTTCTTGCCACTTAGCTTGAGCCAACAAAGAGCCAGTAGTCAATTGCGTCTCGAAGTCTTAGCATAAATGATGGCTCCATTAGATCGCAATCAGCTGAATTGCCTCAGCGCAAAGGACTTCAAATGAAAAACTGCCAAAAAGAAAGGCTCAAAAACTGTGCGAATCACTTTTCGCTTGACTAGCCAAAAAAAAGAAGAAGAAGAAGAAAAAAATGTTTTAGCTTGCAACAAATTGCAGCAAGACAAAATTTTGCGGGCATAAACAGCGCTTAAATGCAACAGTCAGCGGCAGCAGCTGCCATGTCCTGCCGCTGCTGCTGCTGCCTGAGGTCCTGCCGAGCCACTTGACTGCAAAAAAGGCGCAATGATAAAATATTTGCTGGCTAAAAACTTGCCAGCAAAGTGTGTTTGTTGTTGCGGCCAAAGTTGAGTGGCAACAGCCTCGCCTTGCGGCCCGCTCACGTCCTTTGGCTGCCCGTCGACAGGAAGTTGAAAAAAAAAATAAAAATGCAAAATGCCCAGTAAGACGTATTTATCAACATAATTACGTTTTTTAATGGCTTTTTAAACCGCAAAATGGCAAAGCCGCAAAATGCAGATAAAAGTGGAGCATAAGACTAGAAAATATAGTGGCTAAACAGTATTCGTGTTGTTGTTGTTTTACTGCTTCCACTGCTGTTGCTGACCCTTCTACACTGTCCTCATGCAAAATGTTTGCTAACTCAATTAGCCATTTCAGCGAATTGGCAGAGGCTGTTGACTTAAAGAACTTGTCTGTTGTGCTAATTATCTAACTATAACTAAGTATAGCTGAATATAACTAACTCTATATCTAGCTATTGCCATATTTGATAGACTGCAGTTCAGGCATTGCTTGTCACTGTCAGCCAAATTGCACAGTGCGCGCAGTTGCGATGAACACAGAATATCAATAAGCAACGAGTAAGAACAATGCAGTCGGGCGATATTGACTGCATAATACTCGTTCATAAGAGTAGCTAACTGTCGCAATGTGGAGTTCTAGCTCTAAGACTGAGGAAGATACAGTTTTATCTATATGGCCACGCCCGAATGGAGGTAGGTATATATGTCATTAAGGGCTGGTATAACGTTATCTACGAGTATGTATTGCAAATTCAAAGTACTTATCAGTTTATCTTTTATACCAGTTTTAGTATTTCTGAATTGGCCAAGCCCACCGTAAATGTATCTTTTTATAAGAGGAAAAATCAAGTCTGAAGCTTTAATTGCACAAACCCAATATACACCACTCACTTCGCGAACGAGTATAAAAAGCGCAGTGCAACGAAATGTATCTACAAAGAGTCTCTCGCTCCAACATTAACAAGAGCATGGTGATGCAGATCCAGAGAGTTTTTGCAAACATACATATTGAGCGAGTCTAAAAATAGATGCAACTCTTTGCAAAGAGAGGCGGAAGGCATTGAGAGAGAGAGCGAGAGAAAATTATATTTTAGTATAAGTATCATCGATAGATAATAACGTTGCGAATTTTATTATACAAAAGAAGAGAAGAGAGCGAGCAGGGGAAAGAGAGAGTGGGAGAGAGTAAGTTGGAGAGAGGGCAAGCAGCAACAGTTAGTAAACACATACTGCAGAGTCAACTGACCCGCACTCAGTTGTAGCTTGTGATTAAGAGCAATCGGTTCTACGTGTAGCGCTGGGAAACCCATGCACATATATAATTTCATATGTATATATATTTATATATATATATATAAAACAAATGGCATGTGTGCAAGCCAGTGCGTAGCATGTTAGTAATCGATAATACCCTGTACGGTTGGCTATGTGTGCTTATCTTGTTGATAACACAGCTCGATCAATCGCTGGCGTTTGGCGCGTCGCGTGTTGAGGCCTTCAAGCGGCGACTGCGTCGGCAAGTGGCGCCGTCTCTGCTACTCGATGACTACCTCGGCTACGATGGCATGCTGGATTACATGGAGCAGCTAGCCAAGGCGTACAGCGATCGCGTTGCTCTACAAGATGTGGGCGTCACGTATGAGAAGCGCCCACTGAAATCGTTAACGATAACGAACGGCGATGGGCGCGACGGCAAGAAGGCGATTCTACTCATAGCCGGAGCACATGCGCGCGAATGGCTGACACCTGTTGCTGCATTGTACACCTTGGAGCAGCTAGTGGTTAGGCATGAGGAGAATGCGCACTTGCTGCACGATTACGATTGGATTGTGATGCCACAGGTCAATCCGGATGGCTATATGTACTCGCGTAATGTGGACAAATTGTGGCGAAATACGCGGTCGCCGAACGGCTTCAACTGCTTCGGAACGAATATTAATCGAAATTACGATATTGGCTGGGGCCAGGGCTATGCCGAGCTAAACGATTCCTGCACCATGCACTATGCCGGCAGCAAGCCCTTCTCGGAACCAGAGACGCGAGCGGTGCGCGACAAAATGCTCGAATTGGTCCAGAGCAAACGTGGGATGCTGTTCATCACACTGCATTCGCATCACACCAGCATTTTCTATCCCTGGGTATACAAGAGGTGGGTATTACCCCTAAGTATATATTGATCTGTGCTAAAAGGTTTCGTCTCTTCATCTGCTAGTGACACAAGTGATAATGATAACGATTTGCATGATGTGGCTGAGGCTGGAGCCGAGGCCATTTTCAATGCAACTGGCACAAGATTCACCTATGGGCAGTATGGCAAGGAGGATACGTTTGGGGGCACCAGCTTGGACTATGCCTATTCGATAGGCTTTCCGCTTTCCTATGCATTCGAATTGTCCGGTGAGCGAGATGGACTCACCTTTGACTTTTGGCCACCAAAGAACCTGCTGAAGGACTTAGCTGACGAGTCTTGGGTTGGCATCAGTGCCATGGCCGAAAAAGCCATTGAACTCCAGTCTCCGGATAGACCTATAACTGTCGCTAAGAATAGCTCTAGCTCGTATAGCTTAGCTAATATGATGAAGATTATATTGCTTATGACGATTATAACGGTGCTCTCTCGCTAACCAGTGTTGGTTAACAACCTAAAAGTTGACTTAAGTCGTTCCATTTTTAACTTTTTCATTTTCACATCGATGTTGTGCAAAGTGTATATACCATATATCTGAAATATATATATATATATTATATATATATAGTCTACAGTCAACTGAAAATCACTAAGTTACTTAATTTATATATTTTTAATTTTATAATAATACAAGCATTAAGATATCGAGATTATGATAAGTGAATAGATATATATAAAATATATATAAATATTTTATTGTACACTTACTGGCATTTTTATAATACCTTAGATAACCCAGTGTCAATGAGTCTATCAGTGATTCTGTCAGTCAATCCATCAATCAGTTGAAAAGATTGTTACAGTTTAAAGTTTGTCAATCAATCAACGCATCAGTTATCTGTCTGTCAGTTATCTGTCTGTCAGATATCATCATCAGTCAGTTTGTAATTCAGTCAATCAGCCAATCACAGTCACAATCAGTCAGAGCTAGTTAATTAGTAAG